AGAATATTATGTCAAATTAAACGGAATCTAGTGTACTGTAAAAGGAACAAAAGACTCAATAAAATAGGTTGCAATGTGTTGAAACAAAACATGCACAGTGCATTCCGCAGAGTTATGAATTAAATGCGCTTTTGAATTCGAGATCATTTTTTTTTCAAACACATTTCTGGTTTTGCTGCGTGTGAAATACCAAATGTATAACTTTTTCTTTCATTCATTCTTTGTTCGACGGCGATCGAGATTTAGGAGATTTATTTTTGGCTTAACTGCTTACCTATTGAAAATAGAATTTTGCTAAAATATAAAAATATCTCAATAAATTTCAGTTGATAACCTTGTCCTTCATTTGGCGCCAAAGAAATTGAAAAGAAATTCAGGCTAATTGCCCTTTTTATGTACCATTTCTTTCCCTTTTCGTGTAGAAGCATTTCCTTGAAATGCATAAAAATATAATTTAGCGCTGAGATTAATGCATTACTCTAATAACTTTATTTTATGATCGAAACTAATTTGGCCACAGACTCTCGGTCGTTTTCAAAGTGTCTTATTTCAAATGTATACAAAAATGAACGAAACAAAAAATACGGTAAAATCGATTCTTACGATGTGTGGTTTACGCCAACGTAAAAACATGAACCTTGATTTTGGCGCATTTTTAAAGCTTACATAAACCTTTTTTTTTTTTCATTGAGCATAATTATTTTTTTTTCTTTCACTCGTACTATGACTACAACTATGTGTTTATTTAAATGGTATAGTGCATTATAGACGCTCCCACAAATCGTTCAGAGTTCAATCAACACAGTCGGCCAAAGCATAAATCATGCACCGAATCGGATTGGAGCCACAGCGATAAGATAGCACTCGGGCACCCAATGCAAAATAACAAGAACGTACAGATGTGCGTGTGTGTATTCCATATGGCAAAAAGTGACGTCATCGTAGTTTTTTTTAACTTGTATATATGCTTTCAAAGCGTGTGCGTTCACACATACACAAAAAATAATTCAATGTTGATGTTTATGGTATGCCCATTCTCATTTGGCAAATGATGTGATATTTTCTGCTGACTTTTATAGCTCTTTTCTAATTAAATCGACAACTAAAATCGACAACTCTCTTCTGCGGGCGACTCACTTACAAGCTAGGCAAACTACAAAGGTTTCTGTGCACACGTTCTGAACGTATATATTCATTTTGAGAAGGGCAAGAGAGCGAGAGAAAGAAGAAATTTTGTTGTTGTCTGTTCAAACATATTGCCGACGAACAAACACATTTTGCTCGATTGCAATTTAAAGACAGAAAATCATTCATCTCTCATCACAAAGAGAAACATTTTCTAAGTGTATTCACTTGCAACATATCCAAAAGCCAATTTTGTATGAACAAGACTCGTCGAGCGTCGTGTGTAATTCATAACACTCGTCAAATATTTGATCGTAAGTTGAGATGTTCTTAGCAGCTTAAATGCCAGCTCGTGTTTTTTTTTCGTTCTATTTGACATAAAAGAGAAAGCAAAAAACCAGAAAATTAATAGAGAAAATGATGTGTGTTTCGTCTTTGATTAGAGACTTTGTTGTTTGAAAGCCCACGTAAGCTCATTTTCTATGCAAACAATTCATTCCAAATGAGGCAAGGGAATAAAATGCCGTCCAATTGAGAAAAATTGATTACGAATTTTAATGCAGCAAAACTGCTGTAGGTAGTTTAATGTTACGTTTCGAAGTTATATCACTTTTGGGTGCATGATATACTCGTGAAATTCTCTTTATATGACACGAGTATGAGACGATTTAATCTTTGAAACGACAAACATATTGCCTATTTTTCATAATTAAATCGGCCAAATTAGGGCAAATGCTATCACTAATTCGGCTATTTTGAATGTTTTTCGTCTCGGTGAGAACGAAAAGACATACAAAATCACAACGCAATAAGATACCCATTCCCTTCAATCTTTTGAACGCACAAACTATAGAAATAGCATATATACAGTCTTTTTTTTTCATGGAAAAAATCAACATCTGGCATTTTAGTGTTCATTTATCGGTGGCGGTTGTTTATCTTGTTCTCTGTTTGCATTCGTGTTTCTTCATATGCCGCATGTATATATGTATGATTCGAGTATGTTTTCGTATTTTGTGCGTACGGTGCGACAATATATACTATACCATTTAATGAATGACTTGGAAAAAAGTATATGCATTCAATAGAAAGAAATATCAAATATTTGTCGACAATCGCTTAAATATTTAATTTCTTGTTCAATTCAATTTTGTGCCTTTTCATTTTGACTTTTTAGAGCTATTTTGTAACGGACTATGACCCAACCATTGAAGACAGTTACACAAAACAGTGTGTTATCGATGACGTGCCCGCCAAATTGGACAGTAAGTCAAAGTCATTAATTATTGTGTAATAATTTCATTCTAAAAATTGAAAAAAAAAAACAATTAAAAAATGTTTTATGTCTCTCTGTGCTCCCCAAGAGAAAATGAACTACGATGAAAGGGAATCAATTGAAAATGAGATTGCGTGCCCGTATATATTCAATAAAATCAATAAATTTCATTGTATTACATTGTAAATTTTCTTTCTTTTTCATATACACGCACCATATGCGATTGCTACATGAATGCGGGCCACAAAATCGAACGCGTTCATTTTCATATTTCCATTTCATGCCGCTTTTTTATTGATTTCTATTTTTATCAACTAAAAATGTTTATTTCTCTTTTTACACAAACACACACACATATACATACAGTCCTCGATACAGCTGGCCAAGAGGAATTTAGTGCGATGCGTGAGCAATATATGCGTTCGGGCGAAGGATTTTTGCTTGTTTATTCGCTAACGGATCACAACAGTTTTGCCGAAATCAGTAAATTTCAGAAACAAATTCTACGTGTGAAGGACAGAGATGAATTCCCTATGTTGCTGGTTGGAAATAAATCAGATTTGGAACATCAGCGTCGGGTAAATTAAACAGCAACTCAATTAAACATGATAGGCAACTAATAAATCGTTTTTATGTTTTTCCTTAAAAAAAGGTGTCATTGGAAGAAGCGCAACAGTTCAGGTTTGTGTTTAATTTCATCTGAATCTGTTTTTTATCACCGCATCGAATTACTATAATGTCCGTCTATTTTTACAGTTGTTCCGTGGGAATGCCGTATATTGAATGCAGTGCAAAGTTACGCATCAATGTGGACCAAGCATTTCATGAGCTCGTCCGTATCATTCGGAAGTTCCAAATAGCCGAACGACCCTACATCGAAGATACTTATAAGCGTAAATCGAAGAAGAAGTGTTGCATTTTATAGAAGTAAAACGGAGAAGCAAAGTGGCCAAGGATTGACGCGACCGATTTCAATCAATTCCGAATTACGTCTCATCCTCATTACTACACTACACAAACACTTCTACCAACGTTTTCATACCATTTACCACATATTCACATTGATTTTTGCAATGAGATTCTTTTTTATATATCGAACGGTTCCCAGTGCCTTTTATATTTTCGTTTCACCCTTTGTTTCGGATGTATAGATTTTTTTTAATTTTTTTTATTTTGTTTGATGTTTTTAAAACTACTTAAATAATTTATTTAAACGTAAACGACTGAGAAGACCATTCTTTTCAATGCAACGGAGTAACTTAATTCGATTGAACACGTATTTTTTTATATTTTGATGACTGTATTGTTTTTTTTTTATGAGCTGTTATTTTTAATTTTTCTACATGCACTTCACACACGAAAATTGCGTTTCATAAAATTAAGTCAAATTAAAAAAGTGCCTTTTTTAAATTATTTTTTTTTGTATTTTTTCACACTTTTATCTAAAATGTTACAAATAAATTTGATGATTAGATTTATGAAATATCAAAATATTTGTACGTGTGCAATTTGAATTATCACAATGACTAAAAATAGCCATTTCAATTACAAATTCCATATCAACAGTAACACATCAGCTTTATTCACGATTTCGTGCAATTCTTTTTTAAAAAAGATGTTACATAATGAGAAATAGTATGTGTCAAATCGGATGTAAAAAAAAAGAAAGTATTTTATAACATTTACACTTTAGAACAAATAACTACTATATAGAAACTCTGCCAAATTCTCAAATCAAAGCATGTAAATTTGCTTCGCCATTTCACAGAAATAGATCTGACAAACTATAAACAAATAAAAAAAATTACAATATTAAAAGTACTAAACCAAAACTATTTGCATTTTTTCTCTTCTTTTTCTTCAATGGAATAAAACATACAATTTCCGCGTATGCCAGTCACATCAATAAATTTATTATTGTTGATGAAAAAGTTGTTTAATTGCAATAAAATCGAAAATAATGACGTTTTTTAATTACACAGCAGATCAGTTTACTTGTTGCCTTCGGCTTGGGAAAAAAATTGAATATGAATTGAAAAAAGTAAGTAATGACTTGAATCATATGATAAATGAACATCACTGAATCAATAAATGGTTTGTAATTGCCATTCAAGCGCTTCCAAATCGATATACTAAATCTTTCAGGTTGGCATTGTTGTTATTGTGAGCTGAAGTTTCCGAACTACTTATATCCAATGATCATCTGCTTAATTGAGGGCTACGTTTACCTGTTCCCTATCCAAATTAGAAATTTTACCACTTTATAATTGTCCATCGAATATATTATGACGTAATAAATTACATTCATATGGTATCAGAAGCAAATATTTTGTGGAAATTTTCGTTTTTGCGTTGTCTTGGTTGCCACACATGTCAATTAATTAAGCAGTCTGATTATCGAAGTAAAGCCAAACATGTTGCAAAACATTCATTTAAGACGTATTTTCTTCGACAAATCAATTGAAGACTTTGAATTTCTATCAATTTTTCATTATTGGCGTTAACACAAGAGACCTCCAGGGATGAGCTCCAGCACATATACACATAGTTGAATGCGATGTAATCCAAATATCAAATCAAGTTATATATAATTGTACAATAGATTCTAAGAACATACTATTACATTAGTTCTAATGATAAATATTCGCATAAAAAAAGGGAAATAAAGAATGCATTTTCAAAGCAGATTGTGTTTTATTGATATAATGTTTTCCACAAAACACATTTAGATAATAGCAAAAGTGTATTTTTTCACAATATTTTGAGCCACATACAGCTATTATGCATCATTTAAAATCAAAAAAGTTTGAAAAATGTATACGAGCTCACCAGTGTATTGCACCGCGCTGCTGCCATCCACAGCATATTAAAATATCTTGCTGAGAATGCGTCGTCCGTCGCATGCGAATGTATGTAGCAGTTTATACATCACAGCGAACAAGAATGCATGCATTGTTCTATTCACGTTTATGTGACTCAAAACATTCAAACGAATGTATAGAGAACAATGCATGTATTGTTCTTCGCTGTGATGTAAAAACTGCTACGTACGTTCGCATGAGACGGACGACGCATTCTCAGCAAGATATTTTAATATGCTGTGGATGGCAGCAGCGCTGAGCAATACTCTGGAGCTCACTAACAGATATATCTATTCTTAAAATAGAATATTGGACGTTTTCTTACTAGCTAAAGCTACGACAATTAGGCATATGAATCGTTGCGGCGAAAGAGTAGCTCTTATTTTTCTCCAAATAATACTGCAACATAAAGTTTTTTATGAATAGTTTATTTGTTGTATTACAACAAATAAACCGTGTGAAAAAAACTTCATGTTGCAGTATTATTTGGAGAAAAATAAGAGCTACTGTTTCGCCGTAACGATTCATTTATTGTTTTAAACAAAAGACTTCAAAACACTTCACAATATGAAAGACAATAATTAAGATTATGTTTTTTTTTCTTGGGAGTATCGTTTACCTAAAAAAGCTGTTGCACATGTTGAAGCAATGAGAAAATGGTTTCTAAAATATTCAATTGTCACGAAATAGACGAGGATATCTTTGAGCTGAAGCTATTTTAACGACAACTTGGATCAATTTTTAAGTGAAATGAGAAAAAGCAAGGCAAATTTTGTCACTATCGAAACTATAAGTTTGCATGCTGTTGCACTAAATTATTTCAAAATGGTTTTTTTCTAAAAATAAAAATCAAAATTTACGCCTATGCCAATCACACCAATGAATTTTTATTTTTTTAAATGTTGCATAAAGTTGCTATGAAATCGAAAACAAATTACATTTTATATTTTCACTTGAATTTTGAAAATTAAAATATCCATTTCTACATTTTTAGTTTCCACTTTATATTTGTTGTCATTTGAAGGGGGGCAATCAGTTGGATTCCTTTTCTCTTTTATTTTTGTGCGCAGTCATCCAATTTTTCAGCTTCGGCCTGTAGAAAAATCAGAAATTAAGTCGAGAACAAAAAAAATGATATAAATTAAGTCCAAAAGGATAGAATTACCGAAATCATGCGATAAATGTTCATCAAAGACTCAATCGATGGTTTGCAATTGTTGAGATTCAAATTGCGTGCTGTTCCAAAGCGGTATGCTGTATCTCCAATGTTGTTGTCATTATTATTGTTGAGATTTGAAGTTGCCGAATTACCGATATCCAGTTGATTGGGAGCACTTCTTTTACCCCAATTTGGACTAAAAGTGAGCTGGGGGTTTGTAGCATTCGATTGAAACATCAACGATCATTCGAAAGAAGAACAAGAGAAAAAACGAACCACATTAACATAAGTCATACAAAATTGTAATTGAATGTTAGTTTGTCATAGAAAACTGTATTTCAAATTTATCTTTCTCACTCTAATGTCGATACACATAAAAAGAAACAAACACTTTTCATTTTAATTTCCGTTAAACAAACAGAGAATTTTTGTTTTCCCTTTTCGGATTGATTCAAACAAATATTCATCGAAATCTTTTTCACAATTTTCTTGCATTACCTGAGCAAAACAACTATTTAACAGTACAATCGCGAGAATGACAACGAAAACTTGTGCGATATGTGAGGCCATTCTTTAGGCTTGAACGGTTGATCTCTATCTGATTGCAGATATGAGATTTTGCTACAAATTTATAGTTGTGCATTACATGTACGTGATTGGCGACATCACATTTTTATGGTATCAAGCGTAAAACTCGTCTCAAATATAAATGTCGTCTATCGTGCGTCGCCACATGTTTTCGAAGCCAAATTAAATGAAGACTTTGA